TTTATTATGAATGCCTTTGGGATAAACCATATTCCCTCTTATGTCTGTCTCTCTCTCTGGCCAACCCTCCCGTGGCTGTCGCGCGATTCGTGGAATCCTCTCATTGACTGATAATAGGGCCCCAGTTTCCACAGACAGAACAGCTTCCTTTTCCAAGCTTTGCACACCTTTTCCCAACGCTTTCACCGACCTTCTCCTACAGGGCCTGCATCCAGGTGCACAACCAAGTCGCTCCTCTCTCTGTTACTTTATTTTCTTTTGGTTTTTTTTTTTCTTTTTTGAGAGCAGATGTTTCTCCGTGCCCCAGGCTAGAGTTGCCGTGGCGGTCAGCCTCGCTCGCAACAGCAACCTCAAACTCCTGGGCTCCAAGCGGATCTCCTGCCTCAGCCTCCGAGCTGGCTGGGACTCACAGGCGAGTGCGCCACCATTGCCTGAGCTAATTTGTTCTATATATTTTTAGTCGGTCCCCACTCCATTTCTTTTCTGATTGTTTTAGAGAGACGAGGTCTCCACGTTGCTACAGGCTGGGTCTCGAACTCCCAGACTAAGTAAATCCTCCCGCCGTCAGCTCGCCCCGTGGCGTAGGATACAGGCGTCGCAGCCACCGCCCCGCCTCCTCTCTCTTTCCAAAAATCACAGAGAGGAACGCGGGCCTGTTTCCAACTGTCTCCCAAGCTCCCTTTCGCGGAAAGGTTGTATGGATGTGGAAGGAGAACAGCCCAGCCACCTCCCTGGCCGTTGCACGCTGCCTTCTGGAAGGAGTAAGCCAGCCTTTGGCGAAGAGGAGGGGCTTCTGTGATGCGGAGGCCGGCTTATCCCGCACTTTTCTTTGCCTGTCGGGGAGTTTCCACTCAGCTACAGGCAATAGGAACCACATGACCCACTTTAAAATTAGGGCTGGGCTGGGTGGTGTGCATCGCTGTTATCCCAAGTACTGGGAGGCCGAGGTGGGAGGGGGATTTTTTTTTTTTTTTTTCCCCCCCTTGAGTCCAGGAAAGTTGTCACAAAACAGGAACTAAAGGCAAGGTGTGGTGGCCTTCATGACTTTGTAATCCTAGGCACTCTGGGGAGGCCGAGGGGCGGCGGATCATGTGGCTCGGAGCCCCCGTCTCTTACTATTAAATAGAAAGAAATTAATTGCCCCAACTAACTGTATATATAGAAAAGAATTAGCCGGCAGTAGGTGGTGCATGCCTGTAGTCGCCCAGTACTGGGAGGCTGAGGCAGAGGATTGCTGAGCCCGGAGTTTTCGAGGTTGCTGTGAGCTAGCTGACGCCACGGCACGTCACTGCTAGCTGGAACCAACAAGTGACGAGTTCCTGTCTCAAAAAAAAAAAAAGGGAAATTTTACCAAGACCAGACGTAAATAGATATAAATATAGTATGTAAGTATATATCACTATATTATATATTATATATATATTAGTTAAAATTACCGTGAGGCATGGGGGGTGTCATGAGCCACCACACCTGGCCTTTAGTTCTGTTTTGTGACACTTCTGGACTCAAGGGATCCTCCCACCTCGGCCTCCCCAGTAGCTGGGACTACAGGTGCACACCACCCAGCCCAGCCCTAATTTTAAGTGGGTCATGTGTTCCTATGTGTGAGCATGAGTGAACTGGGACAGGCAAGAAAAGTGGGGATAAGGCCTCAGATCACAGAGGTCTTTTTTGACCAAGGCTGCTTACTCCTTCAGAAGCAGCCTGTGCAAACGGCCAGGAGAGTCTGGGCTGTTCTTCAACATCATACCTTTCCCCAAGGAGCTTGGGAGAGTGTCTACTATAAATAGAAAGAAATTAATTGGCCAACTAAAAATATATAGAAAAAATTAGCGGGGCATGGTGGCGCATGCCTGTAGTCCCAGCTACTCCGGGAGGCTGAGGCAGGAGGATCGCTTGAGCCCAGGAGTTTGAGGTTGCTGTGAGCTAGGCTGACGCCACGGCACTCACTCTAGCCTGGGCAACAGAGTGAGAATCTGTCTCAAAAAAAAAAAAAAAACAAAAAAGAAAAAATAAATAAAAGAGAGGAGGGGACTTGGTTGTGCACCTGGATGAGGCCTGTAGGAGGAAGGCGGTGTCTGAGCTGTGAAAGCTTGGAAAAGGAAGCTGTTCTGATCTGAAACTGGGGCCTAATATCAGTCACGTGAGAGATTCCACGAATGGAACAATTAAAAAACAGCCACAGGGAGGGGAGTGGGATAGTGGAGAACCCCAGAGGGAAAGGCAGCTAATATAAGGGGAATTGATTTTCCCAAAAGGCATTTCATTAAAAAAAATTTTTTTTAAATGATAACAATAAAAAAAACAAAGAAAAAAGAAAGGACTGCCAAGACTGCCTCTTTCTTATGCTCCCCAAAGCCCCAGGTGCCGAGCTGTGGTCCTGACCGGGGTGGGCAGAGCAAAGCTTGCAAGTACAAGGGGATGAGCAGGGCGGCTGGGCGGCGGGCCGGGAGGGCAGCGGGCCGGGAGGGCGGCGGGCCGGGCGCAGGGCCGCCTGACTTCTGCACTTGCTCAGCTCAGTGCTCAGCACGGCCGTGGCGTTTCCCTTCTCGGTTTCAGCAGCCAGCCAGTGGCATCGCCCGCACGTGGAGACGCATTGAGGACAGCACAGGTACAAGTGGGCATGGGCTTTTATTCTCAGTGCACGGCAGTATTGGTTTCTGCTCATCAGCAAAAAGCTTTATTGGTTCCAAAAAAGTATCCCTTTTAAAACTCCCATTATTCTTCCTGTCTCAGTGAAACAACACATCTGAATTTTCAGATTTGCCAGTTTATACCACTTTTTCCCAAGAACCATATAAATACATGCAAAACATTGTACATAGAGCTTAAATAATATCAGAATGCAAATACAGATCTGGGTGCACTGTTAAGCTGAATTGCAAATTATGGCAACACACACTGGGGTACACATTGCTTTGATATCACCATTTGTTTGTTTATCTCATGCAGACCACCATAGTCAATCTTTTGTTTTGTTTGTTTTTTCCTTTTTTGTACAAAAAATACCAGTGCTTGTTATACTAGTTACTGAAAAGAAGAAACTCAAAATTCCTATCTGCATGCTGATTTGAAAAGAACAACGTGGATAGATTTGTTGGCACATATATATGGCATATTCACATATGGCATATATACATACGGGGAGAAAACACGGGCCAGTTCCATCACGGGGAGCTAATCTCCCTCCGTCTCTCCTAATCAAGAGGAAAGGGAACAGCAGGCCTAACAGCAGGGTAAGGAAGGCAAAAGGACTGGCACTGAGCTCAGGGGAAGGGTGTCTGGTCTATTCTGAGGAAGAGGCTAGAATGGCTTAAGAATAGCAAGCATTTTAAGTGCCCACCCTCACCCGTGCAGCGGGGTGGTCCCTAGATAGGAAAGGTGAGGGAGTGTGCATATTGTGAAGGTGCCCCGGGCTGCTTTAATTGTAAGGCAAGGGACGCAGGAAAGAGAGGAAGGGATGCACTTAGAGGTTTCTCGGCACACGCGAGTTTTCGGCAGTGAGGTAATCCCTTAGATTTGACTGTGCAAACGCTCCCCTCTGGGGCTCGAGGGAAAGAAGAAACTCGAACCCGAAAGAATCCACACGTGTCCAGAGGGGTGTCTAGGTGATCTCTCTCTTAACGCCTTTAGGGACAGGAGAGTCATTTCAGAGGACAGAAGACACCCATGGGAAGGACCTAGCCCCAAGACAGCCACCCAGGACTAGAACCAGCCGCTGTTTTATCCATGTAGAGTTCTGTCCCTTATGTCATATAGCGCACAAAACCTTTCTAGTGGAGAGAAGGAGTCTCAAATCACATCCTTGCCAAAAAAAAAAACAAAACCTCACTAATGGAAAATTCCAGGAGGAACAGGAGGTGAAAACCATAAAAATGCAAACTCCAATTTAGAGTAGCCTTGCGGACCAGGAGATGGTAATAATGTCCTTGGTACCACTCTGCCAGCTATTCTCCAAGAAACACAAAGCCAGCCGAGGCCCTGATCCTAATCACTAGTTAGGGAGGAGCCTGGCACTCTATCTCCACGTCGGGGGCGGGGCGCAGGGGTGCAGGGCGCAGGGGTGCAGGGCCATTCCCTGGCAGCTGTGTCCCTCTTGCTGGGTGTTTTCCTGACTATCCACAATGTACTATCCGTTTTCCTAGGTTTGTCAAGAGAGGAATTCTAGGATGATATGTTCTTCTTCTCCCCATCAGACCCTTTTCAAATCCAAAGCACCATTTTGGGGAAAAGCATTATTAACTTATGCCGTATTTTACTCACTGCCAGTTGGATCACTGAAACCGAATAGAAAAAAACTTATATAAAAAAACATATGCACATAAACACTTGAACTTACTCAATTCCATGTCAACAAAATTTATATTAAAAAAGTCTAGAAACCAATAATTTTTTTTTTCCCTAAGTATAAAGATGGCTGTTTGGAGAAAGAAGTATGGTGTATTGGTTTTAAAACCAGTTACAAATACACTAAGTCACCTGTCATGCCAGACAGCTGGTTATGCATTCCCTTCCATGGGGTTACATGACGGCACTTTGTTTTAAATCCTTTAAACAAAATACATATGGCTGACTCGAAAATATCAGTTTCTGATCTAAAAGAAAACTATATATCTTTGCATATATTTCTATATTTTCTCTCCTACTATGGGAAACTAGAACACACACACACACACATAAAAAGAACTGTTGACTTTAAAAAAAGTACACACGAGCCCTCAAGAGTAACCTGTCAGGCACCATGAGAGTCTTTTGGGAACGGGAATGGTAAAATAGCCTGCAAAGCTTGTTATTGGCTTGCCTTTGAAAATGATCTGAGGTAATAAAAGATTCGATAGAATTAAATCTTCCTATGTAGTTAATGAATATGAATGTCAACACCTAATGCCTTGGGTGAGCTATTTTTTTCCCTCCCCCCCCCTTGAGTATTTAAGACAGAGAAAAAAAAAAACTGCTTTACAAAAGCCCAGTGGAATCTGTTCCCCTATTCCCTACAATGCTGGACTGTGCAGTAGAGGGGTGGGGGGGTTGGGCCCTTACAGTCCTGTCTTGGACAGCTCAGGTGACGGGAGGGAGGGAGGAGGGATCCACTGGAAAAGGCTGAGTGGATCAGGCCACCCTCCTCACACGTGGGAGTCTGGCAGTTCAGAGGAGCCTCCAGCCCCTCTCCTGACTCCCGTCTCTCCAGAAAGAGGGGTGCGGGCTCCACTTACCTCGCGGGCCGCGGGAGGCAGGGTCACGGGCCAGCCCCCGCACAGAGGAACCTAAGTCGACATCAGCGGGGATAAAAACGGAACTCCCGCACGCACGTGTGGCTCCACCTCGTTAAGGAACACTTAAAAAAAAAAAATCTCCTAGCGAAGTCCCCGACTCCTGAGAGGCGGACAGGAAGGGGCTGCTTTGGGCAGTGTTCAGGGAAGAAGGCACAGGGCTTCACTGGGCGGCGGCCGGGGCACGTGGCGAAAGAGGGGCTTGCAAGGGGGGCTTTTCAGTGGGGCATTTTGCTCCTTTAAGTCGGCAAAATGTCACGGGGTGCCTCCTGCTTTGGATGCATGTTTTCAAAATCGGAATATGTGAGAAAGGCTGGGACCTTCTCAGAGCCGGGGTAAGTCGTGGGGCGTAGCAAAGAGTAGAACTGGAAACTAAAGAGGATGCTGAAGCTGGTACCCAGGCACCTAAGCTCACGGTTCCTGGTCCCCGCAGGAAGGGTTTTTTCAGATCATGCCGGAATGGCTCTTCAATACTCAATACTCTTCAATACAAGGCTTTTCAGTACTCATTCCCCAAACAATCATGGTCTGCCCTGGAAGAGCCTTGGCAGATGGCTTTGAAAGCAGTGGTTACCCCAAGCAGGACTCACTACGGTCTGCTCTGATGGTCTGTCTTGTCCTAGGCCTGCCATTCTTCTGGTCCTCAACATCCAAGTCCAGCAAGGAGGCAGGGTCGCACCCAACTCATTCTCTTGCCGTGACTTTAGGAATTGGAGAAAGCTCGAGCCTGTGGTAACACTATACACCACGCATTGCGACCTTCCCGGGCCAGGCTGACCTCCCTGGCACTTGACAACACACACGCTAATAAGCTGGCAGTTTCAAAGCAGAAGGTAACCTGGCCATAACAGGGAAACATCCTTACCTGCTCTTAATTGCTTCAAAAGGACCCTTTTAGCAAAGAAAGCTGTCTGATTCCAGAACTAAATTGAGGGTTCTTTTGGGGCCAGAAGGGAGAATGGTCAAATTTACTCAATTCACCCATGTCCTTTCCATGTTCTTCATTGTTAAAACATTAAAAAAGAAAAAAAAGTGAAGGAAAGGAAGCCAAGGATCACAAAAGACCAAAAGAATCTCAGGGAGGTTTGGCTGGAAGGGCAGAAAGAGCCAAAGGCCTTTATGTGTAAGTGTTCAAAATGGGGAAAATTGTCGTAAAAACAATCACACTACTGGATGATTTTATACAATCCCTCCCTACTTCAGCCCATTTCATTTGGGGATTTTTGTCTCCCTCTGAACCCTCAACTTAGCTTATAAACAGCACAGACTAATAGGATAAAATCCGGAAATCCAGACATGGTGACGAGTATATGAACAAAGGGGAAGAGTTTAGGCTGGGGCGATGCCAATAGGATTGTTGTCATTTCTTTAAAAATAACAGCTGATATACCCATGAAGTAGATTCTACCATTACCTGCCTGGGGTTTGACTGGGTCCTGCTACAAACCCCAACTCAAGCTTAACCTGAAATCCTTGTAGGTCTGTGCTCTTGCCTCTTCACGGTCAGCTGGGGTTCACACACACGTGGGAGCAGCTGACATGACAATGAAAAGGTCCATCACCACCTTATAGATGGGATTAATGAAAAAAGAAATAGAGAAAGCAGGGATGGGAGTCAGAGAGTGACAGTTCAAACTGATGTCTCCAGGCTGTGTAGAGGGCTGTCCGAGCGGGAGGCAACAATTTGCACTTGATTGCGATCCACCGCATTGTTGTTTCTGTTGGCATTGACAGTGACCTCACCATCCAACAGGGGCACACTAGTCCCAGATGTAGAAACTGCGTCAAGATCATTCTCCTCTTGCTCATCCAGGAGTGGTGTTCGTGGCAACTCCTCGTCTATGGCGAATTCAGGTTGGATCATGAAGTTGTGGATGGAGTTATGGCTCGTGGGTTTCTGAATGCTTTCGTGGAGGGAACTATGGAATGCTCTGACCACCTTGATCTATACCAGGGGAAGGAAAAGGAGGATGAGAAAATAGGGAGGTGAGAACTGGCCAGCAGAACAAGGAACTGGTGGTTTGAGGAGAGAAACAAAACCCAAACTATAAAATGCTCAACAACCCAAACCAAACATGTTAAGAAGAGATCATGGGGCACTAGACACATCCATGGCTCAAATGTCAAGCACTGGGGTAGGGTGGGGTGAGTGATGGCAAACAACTAGGATGCTTCAAAAACCAAAGCAAAGTTAGCATTCCCAAACAATCCACTCTTCAGATGAAACAGAAAACAAGAAATCTCATTAGTTCTTTCAGATGGAGGGCAAGGACATTGGAACTAGGACATTGTGCAAATTAATAGCCAAACTGAAAAGATGTTTCCGACATGTGTATTTCTGTGTTGAGGCCAAACATTTCGTGAACGTGGAATGGAGAAATTACTCATTGAAGTTCAGTTATCTGTTTAAAGCCCTCAGAGGGCCAGCATATACCAATCTGCACTCAGCACACATCAGGTGACATGTGACCACGAGCACGGTGCAGCCAGGCAGACAAGCCAGTCTTCATTTGTGTCAGCAGCATGCAGGGAAGCAAAACTCTCCAATTGAACAACATGCCCCTTCAGTCAGGAGACGTGCATGTACTGACATCACACACATGCCACTGTGCTCCCTCCCCCGAAAGGACACAGAACTCCACTCCTTCGGTCCCTCTCCAAGAGGACGTGGACAACACACAGGTGTCGAAATACGCCTTCCTCCTGCCTACCGAGGGGAGACCCAGTTCCCATCACTCAAAAGCATGTCCCTGTCTCTGACGCATACAAACTGTGCCCAGTCATGCCACTTTCTCCAGCTGTTTCCAAATTGCGAAGAGGAGCGTGATCTCACGTGCATAAGGGAAAGGAAGGGACCAAAGAGAGAAACCCAATTCGGGGGGCAGTGCTGCCAACAGGTGGCCTTTCTGATGGGGCGGAGGAGGAGGAGGATGGAGGAAAGGAAACCATCTGCAGTCTTACTGGGAAGAGGGAAATGCATTGCCCTGTGTCAAAGTCTTTGTTTTACTGCACACAAAAGAAGGGATTCAGTCAACTCAGGGTCAAGAGGAAAAAAACTGATAATAATTGATGCCCGTGAACAGCCTTTGCTTAGCCATGGCACTGGCTCTTTTGGTGGCTCTGCAGAGAGACTACAGGTCTCTCTGAGGTGTGGCTTAGAACCTGGGTGGGTAGAACCGCTGTAGGAAGAGAGGGCTGGATCTCCGAGGGCGGAGAGAGAGGCCAGGGGAAAGGTACATGGCTGCAGGACAGTGTTCGTTGTTGGGAGGTGGCTGATTTAGTCTTGTCCAAAAATCCTTCCCACAGAAAAGAAATGGCAGCAATGCAGGAGAAATTGTGGAGGTGGGAGGGAGGGAGGGAGGCGTGGCGAATGTTGGGGTAGGGCACCCCTTTCATTCCTCTGCTGTTTAAGGAAAAAATATGTCCCTGGAGAAGAGGCGAGAAGGCAGAGACAGCAGAGCGTGCGAAGAAAGAGCAGCCAAATAAATGGGTTGGGTTGCCTGTCCCGGGCTTCCTGCCACTGCATGGAACCTTCAAAAGGACAATGCGAAGGAGGCTCACCATCGTCCTGCCGGTCCCTCTGCTCTGGAGGAGGTGTGTCTCTGCTGGCTAGGGCTCTCCTTATCTTGCCTCACTGCCCCACGGCCTGCAGGCCCAGCCAGGACTGAGGGTGCCCAGAGTTTAGAAGGCGAAGAACTCCTTGCCACTCAACAGTATCCTCTCAACACCTCAGCTGAGAAGAGTCAAGGAGCCTGGGCACACGCTCACCATGCTGAACAGAAAGTGAGCACCCTCTTTTCCACCCTTCTGTGACTCCTGTCTGACTGCCTGACGTGTGAATTTTACCTGTCTTGTGGCCTTCGCTCCAGATCTAGGTGGGATCAGATGGAATGGAGGTTCCACCTGGTCTTCAGGAGGTCCCAAGTTTTCATTGGTCTACAGCCAATCTTAAAGCAAGGCAAGGTGGCCTAAGTGACCCTAAACCTAACGCCTCCTCCATGGGCCCTGGTATAGATACCGGTACTGGCCAAGGGTTGGGTCCAAAGCCATCCCACCCATCAAAGGCACTTTTCCTCTGCTCTTGGGGTCTCAGAATTTCTAATGAGTACCAGAGGAGAGCAGGTATTTTAACCCCCAGTTCATCATCTTTAGTATCAGTGATTTTCAAACTTCCTGCTTCTATTCAATGGAATGCTTTATTGCAACTATTAATATTATATATGAAGTACATTATAGAGAATACATTTTTAATGACTGGGGTTGGAGTGAGGGGTCTGGAGCCCTAGCTACTGGCTTTTCCTCTCACCTGTTGGGGTGACCAATAATACTGTTACATACAGAGAAACAAGGAGGGGGATAAAAGTGAATTAGGGATGGAAACAATAGGGAAAGCTTTGGGGGTGCAAGGAACAGTCATCCGGCTAGACTGCAGGACTTCTGGAATCTAAAGGGAAACCAGCCACCTGCAAGGGAAGCTCAAGCGAGGTGGGGCCAGAGAGCTAGGGAGCACTTCCTGGCCTGGGGGTGGAGAGAAGGGGGAGGAAGTGGAGCGCATGGGCCCTGCTAGAATGCCCCTCCTGGGCGCCAGCACCGGCCTCACGTGTGCTGATGAACAACCACACGACGTCACCACCAACCCACTCCGGGGCTGGCATCTCCCCTTTCTGGGAGCTTGGTGACTGGTGCATGGACACCGCAGGGCTGGGGAAGCAGGAGTGGGGAAAACTTAGAGCGCTCTCCACTCAGCTAAGCAGCCTTCCCTCCCTGGTCAGCACTTCGCAAAGCCTCTGAGAAATGTCTCTTCCGGGGCCCCTGTTCTGCAGGCGAAAGTGGCTGACGGAAGGGCCACTCTTTTCATGACTCTGGAGCTCCAGGCAGGCTGGACCTTCGATTAGGTGTGAGTGCTAGAGGCTGCTCCTGCAGCTCAGGGAGCGGGCAGGTGAAGACTGCGTGTCCCCGGCTGGAATTCGGTAGTTTTCTGCCCTCTTTTCAGGGCAGGAGGGAAGAGAAGGATTAGGGCCTTCCTATACAGGGGACTCTTAGAGAGCTAGCTCATGCTGAACAAAGAGCAGAATTCATTTGGAGATCTGCAGTGGGAAAGAGGGTTTTAAAATGCATGACTGTAACTGCTAGGGCCTCCAACTGAGAAGGCACAGCTGGAGAAAGAGCAGGTGTGGCCCGTCTCTCCCCATCCATCCAGCCCTCGAGGGTTGCTGCACACCCTCCACTGGCTCCCCTGCAAGAGCCCAGTGGGCTCGGTCTTCTGCTTGGTCTCTTTCCACTGTGAAACCACCGGGACACCTGACATGAACCCTTCCTACCAGAGAGGGATGATTTAAAAAGAACAGAAGCTAGTTAGAATGGGATGGCAAAATGAGAAGAAAAAAGGAATTTATTTTATTTTACTTTTTTTAGGCTGGTCAAGTGAAGCAATGGGAGTGGAAAAGGCACAAAGGAATCTGTAACTGATTGTGATCAATTAGTTGTATTTTTTTGTTTGTTTGTTTGTTTGATACAGAGTGCCATGGCATCAGCCTAGCTCACAACAACTTCAAACTCCTGGGCTCCAGTGATCCTCCTGTCTCAGCCTCCCGGGTAACTGGGCTACAGGCGCTTGCCATCACACCCGGCTCATTTTTTATTTCTATTTTTAGTTGCCCAGCTAATTTTTCTATTTTTTGGGTAGAGACAGGGCCTCGCTCTTGCTCAGGCTGGTCTCCAACTCCTGACCGCAAGGGATCCTCCTGCCTTGGCCTCCCAGAGTGCTGGGATTACAGGTGCGAGCCACCATGCCCGGCCCAATTCGTTGTAAACACCACTGCACTTGGACCAGCCAGAAAAAAGGAATTAAGACAGGAACACAGAGGGGATCTAGAAAGACCGGAGCGAGAGAGGCTCTTGGATATATTTGTAGGGCAAGATTTATTTAGTTCTTTCTTAGCCGGCTTTGGGCCTGATGAAATAGCACGCATCTATACCAAGCCCACCCCCCACACCTCACATCAGAACACTTAACACTTGGCTAAAAAGACAGAATAAACCTAAGTCAGGTCAACCCATACAGTTCACAATCAAGGGAACCACAGACAATGCGACTGCCCTGTCTTCATCCCGGCCCCAGGGTTGAGGGTTGAAGCTGGGGCCGGGGAGGAAGGAATCGACTGACCGCTCAGGTACCTGGAGCCCGCAATACTCTTAACATGGAGAAACCCCTCTCCTAGCAAATACCTTAACAGCACCACCAGCAAAGAGCTGGCCGCTTTCTCTCTCCTGTCTGGGTCCCATTTGGGGAAGCTCAAATGACCAGGACGGGAAGGCATAAGCCTAAGGATCCAACTATCTACCGATGGGAACACCAGATCTTAGGTTGAGAGTTGACAGCCTTCCAGCTGAAAGCCTGGCTGAGAAAGGGATTCCTTTAAAAAAGGCGTTTCTCTTAGGAAACTTCTAAAAAAGGAGATCTAGTAAATGAAGGAAAAAGTAAGTTATTTCAACCCTTTAATATATTTCTCCTACTCTGATGTGAATTAATCGATTCTTAAACCAGACTGTGGTGGGGCGCCCCCACATGGCTCACGCCTGTAATACTAGCACTCTGGGAGGCTGAGGTGGGAAGATTGCTCGAGGTCGGGAGTTCAAGGCCAGCCTGAGCAAGACCAAGACCCCGGTGTCTCTACTAAAAAGAGAAAAATTAGCTGGGCGTGGTGGTGTGTGCCTGTAGTCCCAGCTACTTAGGAGGCTGAGGCAGGAGGATTGCTTGAGCCCAGGAGTTTGAGGTTGCTGTGAACTAAGCTGACGCCACGGCACTCTAGCCCGGGCAATGGGGTGAGACTCTTGTCTCAAAAAACAAACAAACAAACAAAAAAAACTCCCCCCAAAACACAACAAATCAGACCATGGCTTAAGGTCCCTGAAAAGCATAATAATGAGGATGTTCAGCCCTATTCGCTTGAACTGAACTGCCGTCTTTTCTTCACATCCAGCTACAACTTTTACACTAATACTGCCAGCCAACAACACAGTGGTAGCCAAAAGGACTATTACCATCGACCAAGTTCAATATTGGCTCCATTATGACAGGTCCACTGGTAAAAAAGCCACAGGCACATAAGCTCCCTTCATTCCTTTCGTCAGGAGATTCCAAACTCGCCCCCATGTAAAGAGAGTCCCTGGGTATCCCCCCAGTCTAACCTCAACCTAAGCTTGGGAGGTGGATTTTAGACTCAAAGGAGCAGAAGAGGAGAGGAACCACAATACACCCAAACAAAGCAAAAAGCAAACAAACAAACAAGGCAAAGCAAAACAAAACAGAACAGAACTTAAGGAAAAAGAGGAACAAGAAATGCAGAAGAACAATTGGAAAACAGAATTATTGTCTTTAAAATGGTTAAGGTTTAATAGCTTTTCTACATTAAAAAAATAAAAGGGTACATTGCCTGGTTTTAGAGTGGGATTTTTGTCTTTTCTTCCCTTAGGTCAAAAGATCAAAGGGAAAAACCAAAAGGGAAAGATAACCATGGTTGGTTAAAGTGGATGCCGCGTGCTCTCTTGTGGTCATTTTAGCAAATCATGCATCGTAATAGACTATCACTCACTGCCCAAAGTAGGAGATGAAGCAGCAGCAGCAACAGTGGTGCTGGGGGATTTGACGGGTACAACTGCTGCATAGGATGAGCTAGGAACAAGTTTTACATCATGGTGTTGACCCAAGTTCTGTCGCCTTAGGATTCCCTGAAAAGAGCCTCCAGTCTGGAATGTGTTAATTACGTCCATCTGCAAAGAATCAGAGAGTGAGATAGCTTTGCTCCGCAGTCAGAGAGAGGCTGCATAGATAGAGGCAGGGAGGGTCTGGGAAGGCTCGGGAAGGGGGGTGGACGTAGCTGGGAAGAGGGGACCGGAGATAGAAAGCAAGAGAGAGATTCCCTCACGCACAGGGCAATGGTGAGGAGAAGGAGGGGGGAAGGTTAATAGCACATCACACTTCATTTAGGGAACAATTTGCCGTGGAGTCCCAGCACCCAGCCAGAATCCAGTTTTCTCTTCCCCTTTAACCTACGGTGGGTGTTTTAAGGTGTATAGGTGTCCAAGAACATTTAGCATTTAAAAGGACTTCCCTCCCACCCCATCACTCCTAACAGCCAGACAGCGACTAGCAGCTTATTCATGGTTTTGACCTGTACTCTTAGAAACAATGTGTACAATTTAGGATACTGAAGGCAAAGTACATATCACTGAATTTCAAGGCTCAGGAACCTCTAAGCCAACTAAACTGGCTACCTAATTTTTGTAGATTTCCCAGGAAAACACCTCATGATTAAAGAAACAAACAGGGCCCGTGCAGTGGCCTGTGCATAGGTGGCCGTGAAGGAAAGGCACCCGGACCATGAGCTGCTGGGCTCATCCTCTCCTGGGCATTTCTCTGAGATACCCTTTCCCTTGGCCGGAGGGGACAGGGCGCTTGAGAACGGAGCTCAAGACTCTGGCGGCCAGGCCCGTTAGAGAGCGTGCTGCTGGCTACGTCAACGCACTGGAGATCCTGAACAGAAAACTCAGCAATTAGGCCGAGGGAGGAGAAGGAAGAGTTTTTGGTTGTTGGAGGCGGTGGGAGCAGCTGCCTAACGCCAAGGCTCGGTCTAGCAGGAATGGAGGGAAGGTGCTGATTCCATCAGTCCGACTCCCATGTCCCCGGAAGATGGGAAAGCAGGCCCCTTGGGAGCGAGACGCCTGCTCTTACGCGTGGGGCTTCCCGAGAAGCCATGAAATGTTTAGGGTTAATTTCTGGAGCCAGGTCAAAGTTTGAGCTAAAAGGCCACCCCTTCCTCTCACATCACACAGTTTTCGGTTCCAGGGAACCAAGGAGTCTGAACGTGCAGGGGGGAAGGGTCTACGGTTGGGAGGGTCCCAGCTCCAGCCAAGAAGGGGCCGTAGAAGACTCATCCTTTACTGCTCACTACGGTTACAAGGTCCCAACATCCATAATGAACTTAGATCCCAGCTTGACCTTCCCGTGATCCTAGCCTTTAAGCTCCCTAAACTGCTTTATAGTGCTTTTAGCTCCCCAAAACCCAAGGGGAAAAGAGACGGGAAGAACCGTCTAGAACCAGGGAAAGGGGAAATCCCGCCCAGAACTGGACGGCAGGGTGGCACCGCCTCCCGCTCCTGAGCCAGGCAAAGAGACTGACAGCAAGGATCAGCACTGCGAGGGCAGGGGGTGTTGTCGGAGCCGGCTCAGGCTGGAGCGCTGGCGCCGCGCGGGCCTCGGGTACCGGGGTGCGCGTGAGCGCAGTCAGCCTCCTCTGCTTACAGAGTCAGGCGCACACTGGAACCATAGGAATTTGGTCACGGGGCGTCTTCACCAGATCTCCTTTGGTGCTTAGGTTTGGGCTTTAGTGCTGTCCTGGCCCAACTGCCTCATGCCCCAACGGGGAAAGTTACGACCCTAGAGCTATGTAGGCAGCGAAACCAACAGGGAGGTGCACGGACAAAGGGTGGGGCAGTTGGCAGTGGAGGGGAAGGAAACCCCATCAATCTCAGCCCTACAGGACAGAAGACTGGCAAGGAGTAAGGAGGTTCTGGAATGAGGGGGATCCTGGCTAGGAAAAAAAATTACATAGTAGCAGAGGAGGCAGGTGTGATCCTGAAGGGAAGAAAAGCAAAGACAGGTTATTTTGAAAAGAGCAGACCCAGAGGGAAGCGCTGGGGGCTTTAGAGACGGGAGCCGAAGGCACCAAGTTCTATGGGCACTGGATGGACTCGGCAGCCAGGAGGAGGGGGTGGGCAGGGGCTGGGCGTGGAACTCTGGGTGCCACGAGGCACTGTGTGCAGGTCCTGCTGGCATTTTCCTTTCTGGGAGGAGGAACTCGAGAGAGGGCGAAGGAACCCCAGTGTTCCCCTACCTAGCCCTTCTTTTCCACCGGCTGTCCTGCCCCTGGGAGATGAATTCCCACTAGGGATGCAGTTTAGCAGATTAATTTCGTCTATCTTCCCATGCACTAAGGAGGTGGGGTTGCCTGGGGAACTTTCTAAACTATTTGCAAGGCCAAATTTAGAGTAAAACTATTTTGGGGATCTCCAGCCCATCAACAGAGAGAAATAAATAGGCTTGTTCTCTGGAGACTCCCCCTGAGATCTTGGAATTTATAGTTTGTTGACATGGGGAATCTGAGGAGCAAAATGATAAAGGCATGTGGGGTGAGAGCAGGGAAAGACAGAATTATCAATGCCTAGATCAGCCCATTCACTCAGGAGAAGATAGTTACAACTGATGCATGGAAAGTGAAAAAAACAAAAACAAAAAGATTGGCCGGGCATGGTGGCTCTTGCCTGTCATCCTAGCACTCAGAGGCTGAGTCGGGAGGATCGCTCAAGGTCAGGAGTCCGAAACCAGCCTGAGCAAGAGCGAGACCCCGTCTCTACTAAAAATAGAAAGAAATTAATTGGCCAACTAAAAACATATAGAAAAAATTATCCAGGCACGGTGGCGCATGCCTGTAGTCCCAGCTACTCAGGAGGCTAAGGCAGGAGGATCGCTTGAGCCCAGGAGTTTGAGGTTGCTGTGAGCTAGGCTGACGCCACGGCACTGTAGCCTGGGCAACAGAGTAAGACTCTGTCTCAAAACAAAATAAAAAAACCCAAAAAGTTACTGCAGGGCTGTAGGCAGGGGACTTAAGAGCAGCAGCATCTATCCCATTTCAGAAATTGCAAGAAGAGAAAAGGTTTGAAGGAATTATAGCTACTTCCTGGTCAGGAAGCAAGTCTGAATCCTGCAAAAGATACTCGGGCCTCGAGACACCGTTATTTATAGAGACTAAACCATCAGATTCCCCAGGATGGCCTTAAGCTTTGGGTGGGGAAGGGAAAAGGTGGTGAATTTTTTTTGCAAAGATCCCCCCCAGATAACGTCTATTCCCATAAGGGCAGCCTGAGGACTTTTCGTTTGGTGTCTGCCGGGGATGTGGGCGTGGAGATGCCGCCTAACGCCTTCCTTCTGAAGAGCAGGGAAAGGAACCGAACATTCACTTTCCACCGTGGGGGCCGGTCTATTGCAAGACCCCTTAGCTAGGAAGCTCGCCCACCTGGACAGAGGGCGGGAGGCCGGGCTGAGGGGCCAACGTGAGGCTGAGGGGCTGTGCTACAGTGTTCCCTGGCCTCGCTTCTCTGACTGCCCTCCCCTCGGAGATGCCACCGCACCCTGGTGCCCTGAAGCTAGGGAGCCAGGGCCGCCCATTCCTTTAGTCGTGAACCTTCGGAAGGGGAGGGAGGCTGGCCGCCAAGAACTGCTGCCCTCCGGACACTGCCCCAGCGGGGAGGACAGGCCTCTACCAGAGTACCTGGGTCTGGATGCGGTTCAGGCCTCGGAACCAGAGGATCTGGCCTCGGCGCAGCTCCATCTCCCCGTGGTCGATCTCGTCCAGGCCCTCGGCTTCCTTGGTGATCTCCTCTTTGTTGGTGCCGTGCCCAGCCTCCTTCAGGAACTTCAGGGACTTGGTAGGTATCGCGGAGATGACCTGGGAGGAGGTGCATTTATTTTAAATTTATTTATTATTATTTTATTTTAGCATATTATGGGGGTCCAAGTGTTAAGGTTACTTTTATTGCCCATGCCCCCCTCCCCCCTCGAGTAAGAGCTTCGAGCATGCCCATCCCCCAAACGTTGCACATCTTACTCGTTGTGGTTGTATATGAAAAATATGGAACGCTTCACGAATTTGCGTGTCATCCTCGTGCAGGGGCCATGCTAATCTTCTCTGTATCGTTCCAAATTTTAGTATATGTGCTGCCGAAGCGAGCACATGGGAGGAGGTGCATTGAAGGGGGAGAAGCCAGCGCCAGGTGAGAAGTCACCGTGGCCGGTGACTCTTTGCCCTGGCCAGCAGGAGAAGGGTTCTCCGAGTGCCACCAGCTGCCAGGCTCTCAGGAGGGTTCTCCGTACTTACGGACACACAAAAGAGGGCTTGTGTTCTAGTAATCCACCAGCCACCTGCCTAGTTATATACGTCATTTTCCTCTTTCTGTCTCCCTTCTTCTTTTCCATTTTGCTACCTGTCTTTTATGGGAAACATAACTATAATGCATGGTACGAGGTAGGAAAAGACAGAGACCAGGAGCTGGGGGACAACAAGCCTGGGGAGAAGATGGTCACACTGCACATGTAGGGTGAGGGGTAGAGGGGGTGCTGGAAGCGAGTGACTCCCTTCTTTTTTATTTAATTTTTTTTTTTTTTCTGTTGCTCGGGCTAGAGTGCCGTGGCGTCAGCCTAGCTCACAGCAACCTCAAACTCCTGGGCTCAAGCGATCCTCCTGCCTCAGCCTCCCGAGTAGCTGGGACTACAGGCATGCGTCACCATGCCCGGCTAATTTTTTCTATATATTTTTAGTTGGCCAATTAACTTCTTTGTATTTTTAGTAGAGACGGGGTCTCGCTCTTGCTCAGGCTGGTTTTGAACTCCTGACCTTGAGTGATCCGCCCGCCTCGGCCTCCCAGAGTGCTGGGATTACAGGCGTGAGCCACCGCGCCCGGCCGAGTGACTCCCTTCTTAGTTACCACAAACAATGTAATGCCTATGTTATAAAAATATAGTGGGACGATACTATTAATAAAAGTTTTCTTGGGCTTGGGGTGAAGAAGTGCTTGAGACAAGCCATGGAGGAAGGGACACATGAGTATTTCTTTTTTTTTTGAGACAGATTCTCACTCTGTCACCCCAGCTGGAGTGCAGTGTCATCATAGCTCACTGCAATCTCAAACTCCTGGGCTCAAGGGATCCTCCTGCTTCAGATTGCAGAATAGCTGGGACTACAGCCACAAGCTGGTATGCCCAGCTAAATTTTCTACTTTTGTAGAAACAGGGTCTCACTCTTGCCCAGGCTGGTCTCGAACTCCTGACCACAAGCCATCTTCCCACCTTGGTCCCCCAAAGTGCTGGGATTGCAGGCATGAGGCATAGCGCTCAGCCAACACACGAGCATTATCAGAAGGCATGGAGCAGCAGGTTGGGGTTGAAATTCAAAATAAATCCTTGAGCTCAGAACCTGTCGGTTTTCCTTCACAAACGGGACGAGGAGTAGGCAGGGCTGAGACGGGAAAGGAGGCCGGCACGGGCAGTCCAGCATGGAGCCCGGCGTTTTGAGATGGGAAGAATGTCAAAGCTCTGCTTCCGGATGTCGGAAGGAGCTGCTGCGGCACAGAAGGCAGCCTGTGATCAGCATCGAGGCCACGTGGCCACGTGCGACAGCAGACCCAGAAGAGAGTTCCCAACAAGAGGTGCAGCAGCCAAGCTTCACCCACGCACAAAGCCGCTTTAGGGAGCCACTGGTAAATAAACTGCAGCAAACAGAACCGGGTGGAGGGAATCGGGTTAGCAATTTACCAGGGGGCATGTGGGAGGTGTGAAGAAACAACCAGTAGGTCTGGGGGGAAGGCCTGCAGCTCCAGAAAGGGCTCTTTGGGGCCAGGTGGGGCAAAGCCTCCGTTACCCAGGGGGCCGGGCACTCAGGGATTATCCGCACAGATCTGGGCTCTTGCAGGGAGAAGTACAGCCCAGGCCGGCGCTGAGGATGCGCGGGAGTGAGAAGCGGTATTAGGGAAGGAGTGAAACTCGGACCACACCTGATGCTATTATATATACAGTACTCATAGCTACATTTATTGAATACTTGCAAGGTACCAGATACACACTGTTCTAAGTCTTGGCAGGCGTCCTCAAACTACGGCCCTCGGGCCACACACGGGCCGCCTAGCACATTTATCCGGCCCTCCGGGTGTTCTTGCCGCGGCTGCCTGTCCTGCTTAGCAGCCGACTCGACCTGGGCCCACAGTGCGCACTCTCCAGCGGTCTGAGGGACAGTGAACTGGCCCCCTGTTTAAAAAGTTTGAGGACCCCTGCTTTAGCGTGCAGTAACCAATTTGCTGATTGATAGCAATTAACAACGACCCCGTTATCCTAAATTGAGGACACGGAAGCACAGAGAAGTTAAGTAACTGGCCCGAGGGGACTCAGCTTGTAAAACGGAGAGCCAGATTCAAACCCATGCAGTCATTCCCCAGAGCCCGTGCTCGGACCCGTGTGCTCCACCGCTTCCCGCCAGATCTCGCGAGCCTGAACTCATCTCAGGTGAGAGTCAGGCATTCCACGCACAGAGAGCCACGGCGAGAAACAGAGGAGGCTGGGGAGCTCTGAACGCGTGCACGCAGCAGCCCACGGACAGGCTGCTGCTGCCGCATTGGAATAAGGACTTGTGCTTTTGTAAACTCTTCTACTTCTATTTTCTTTTTTAGCAGAATTCCTTTGAAAAGTTCCACCTGTCCCAGAGAAGCCATGGGAATTGCCTGCCCCCAGGCACAGTTAGAGAAGAAATCAGAAACCACTGAAGTGGTGGGCGCTGGTCCTGCCGCCGCAGGGTGCTGGGCTGGGGGAGAGGAGAGGACGGAGGGCGGAGGGCGGGGCGTCACCACAGCTGCTGGTTCCGCGTCCTGCAGAGGAGGGGCCTGCAGGCTGTGCGGGGATGCAGGGGAAGGCAGGGGCGGGCGGGCGTGCGGGCACTCACCTGGCCCCACAGGAGTTCTCCAATCCCGATGAAGAGACACCACAGCCACTGGGCCAGGCTGAGCTTTGTACAGCTGAAGGGTTTACCCCCAAACTCCACGATGAGAATCTAAGACAGAGAGCGGGGCAGCCTGCCATCAGGGAGGTGACCAACAGGCACTCAGTTCTCCAGCCAGGGACGCCAAAGCCACACATTCCCCCTGCCCCAGGGTTCTCGGGGTGCGAGTCCTGATCTGCTTGCTGGGGAAGGGGAAAGAAGAAATCTGGAAGGAGGGGCAGATGCAAACAGCCTTTTAGAGCACTCTGATGAGACAGATGCCGTCACTATGACGATGATTAATGTAAGACGTGGGGGCGTTGGGGGACCTGGAGGCTTCTTGTGACAAAAGCCAGTGGGTGACAAAGAGAAGACACAGCGATGGAGGAGAGGCGTTGAAGGCGGGGCAGATAAGGGACACATCCCGCTGAGGGAGGGGGCAGGAGCTCGTCGGTGACACGGCGAGCTCGGAAGTTCCTGTACCCGGAGATGTGTTAGTGTACCTCTGCCCAGGGCCGGAGGGGAGGGGCTCGATCCTTGATCCTTTTACCGCCAGGGCGGCCATGCCCTTGACCCTGGTTCCCACAGGAGGAGCCCAGGTTGGGCCGTGTCCGCTACATGTGCACCATGTCACATGTCACCTGTCAATTCTCTTTCCCCGTAGTCGTGCAGCATTTTCTACCACGAGCCCCCTCAGAACCAAGGTGAAGGGACCGGGAGCCCATACTACACGCACACACGTGTTTCATGTGTGCTGGCGGGGGGCACGGAAAGGGGCTAGAAGAGAGTGACCCGTCTCTTGGCCCCTTTGTGGGACTCCTGTGTATTTAGAAGGGTAATGAAAGGGTTCTCCAAGTCCTGTTTGCAGCCCTCGTACTGCCTTGCACTGGAACACCTGGCACGCCGGGCCCGACTCCACAGCAACGCACAGATGGAAGCTGACCGGGAACCCCAGAGTGTTCAAGCCACGGCCTCGGTCCCCATTACTCCCTCGCTCCTTTTCCGGGGTGCTTAGGGAACGGTGGCTCCCAGCTTCTGGCCTTTACCGTCCCAGATCTGCTACCCCGACAGACTCTCACCTGGCTGATGAAGGTGCCCAGGACTACAGTGCAGAAGATGAGGTTGCGGTGAATGCCTGCGAAGACATTCTTCTCCCCGTGGATCTTCCGGGCGTTGATTTCATTGAAGAGCTGCATCAGCACAAAGGTGTTGAAAACAATGGTGTAGTGCTCGGTGGGCGGGGAGTGCAGCGGTGCCTTCCTGCCACTGTCAATGCCAAAGAATCTCTCACCTAGCAGGCAGAGGAGAAGCGTAGGAGGGTAAGTGTGGTCTGAACTAGGAGTCAGAAAGCGCTGGTGTGGCCACACTGGGTGCTTGTGGCTGGCGTCCATTCTAACTGGTCACTATCTGAGCTATACTTGTTAGTAAATATTTTAAACGTCAGGCCTGGTCTCGAACCATCGGGCCCCGTCTCTGTTTGCCACTGATGCTTGCCTTCATGCAGGGTAGCGTGGTGGTGAGGCTGTGTGTACTGGGGTCAGAGAGACACAGGTTTGCACTTTAGTGCCACTATTTACACATCATGGAACCTGAGCCTCACTTCTGTCATCTATAAAAATGTGAATAATAAGGCCGCCCCCGTGAGATTCTGAAGAGGAGTACACAAAACAGCACGGTGCGCCGTGTAGCAGGAACACGGGAGTACTCAGTAGGTGACGCCGCTGCTTTTCCTAGTCTCAGCTACCTTTTTGCTCGGGCCACTCTCTGCCCCCATCTCCATCTGGCACCCGGCCGCTGCCCCTCCCTGCCCTCATCCCACCCTGGCTCACCAGCAAAGACAAGGACAAAGACGACAACGAGCTGGTAGATCGCATGGCCCAAGATGTTCTTCATCATGGTCCGTGAGATCAGAGGCTTATTCCGGCCATAGGGGCGACGATTCAGCAGAGACTCCGTAGGGGGCTCCGTGGCCAGGGCCAACGAAGCAAAAGTGTCCATGATTAGGTTGACCCACAGCATCTGCACGGCCTTCAGTGGGGAGTCCTGGTGGGAAGAAGAACCAGTCCTCTGAGCTTCCCTCGGAGACCACCCCCCACCTCCGCGTCAGCCCCACCTCTGCCCTGCACATGGCTCCTGCTAGCCACCTAGACTGCGAATCTGGCCGTTTAGTGGCTGAGTGGCCTTGAGAAAGTTACTTAACCCCTCTGAGCCTTGCGTTCCCCATCTGTAAAATGGGGGTGATAATACCTACCTTGCAAGGTACTCTTTCTGAAGAGTAGAGACAGTACATACCAGTGCTCAACACAGTGGCTGACGCTAAGTGCTAAATGAGTGGCAGGTAAGTCTTCATTGTTCCACATAAGCAGATGGAGACAAAGGACCCAGGAGAGCTAACTCCTGCCCCTACCGTTACCAGGGAAACCTTGCCCTTACCCCTCAGCGGGCACACTGGACCCGCTGCCCCGTGCTCCTTCTCAGCCCCCGCCCAGCCCTTCCCATGTCAGCCCCCACACCCCCCGCACCTGAGTGATGCAGGCTCCGGTGAAGGCCACGATCACGGCCACCACGTTGACGGTGAGCTGGAACTGCAGGAACTTGGAGATGCTGTCATAGACGTTGCGCCCCCACATCACTGCCTTCACGATGCTGGTGAAGTTGTCGTCCGTCAGGATGATGTCCGAGGCCTCCTTCGCTACGTCTGTGCCCGCGATGCCCTGCGGCGAGACGGGGAAGGGAAGCGGTGAGACGCGGGGCGAGGCAGGGCTTACCCACGCTCCGAACCCTGGGCTCCGCCAAGCTTCAGAAGCGGGTGTGCGCGTTGGCGGGCGCGCTGGCCACACAGAAGGAAACGAAGAGGAAATGGGTCTCTGCCACTCCGCAGAAGAGGGCTGGGGCCCGATGCCACCGCCTTACTCCCCGAACCGGCCTGGGAATGGCAGTCGTCTCCGATAACCCCTCTCCTCCCTCTTGCGCCTCTATCTTGCAAACTAACTGAAAAGTAGTGAACTAATCCTACGCATTCTACCTCCAAATTCTTAAATTTATGCTTAAGAATGAATTAAATTCTTAAATTTCCATTGCCAGTATCTCATTTACGTCCTTGTCTCCTTTGCGCCTTTGAGAACTCGACATCTTGCTCTAGGAGTAGCTGTATGGGCAGCAAGCTCAGGGTCTGTCTCTGTTCAAAATCCTATCCACGTGCGGGGCGCGGTGGCTCACGCCTGTAATCCTAGCCCTTGGGAGGCCGAGGCGGGCGGATCGCTCAAGGTCCGGAGTTCGAAACCAGCCTGAGCAAGACCCCGTCTCTACTATTAAAAAAAAAAAATTGAAAGGAATTAATTGGTCACTAACATATATATAGAAAAAATTAGCCGGGCATGGTGGCGCATGCCTGTAGTCCCAGCTACTCGGGGAGGCTGAGGCAGGAGGATTGCTTGAGCCCAGGAGTTTGAGGTTGCTGTGAGCTAGGCTGACGCCACGGCACTCACTCTAGCCTGGGCAACACAGCGAGACTCTGTCTCAAAAAAAAGAAATTAAAAAAAAAAAAATGCCAAATGTTTAGAGGCTTAAAAAAAAAAAAAAGCCGGGCGCGGGTGGCTCACGCCTGTAATCCTAGCACTCTGGGAGGCTGAGGCGGGCGGACTGCTTGAGGTCAGGAGTTCGAAACCAGCCTGAGCAAGAGCGAGACCCCGTCTCTACTATAAATAGAAAGAAATTAATTGGCCAACTAATATATATAGAAAATTAGCCAGGCATGGTGGCGCATGCCTGTAGTCCCAGCTACTCGGGAGGCTGAGGCAGGAGGATTGCTTGAGCCCAGGAGTTTGAGGTTGCTGTGAGCTAGGCTGACGCCATGGCACTCACTCTAGCCTGGGCAACAAAGCGAGACTCTGTCTCAAAAAAAAAATAAAATTAAAAAAAAAAGCCCTATCCACGTGGAACCACTGAAGGCTCTGGATAGCCATCTCAGTGATTGAAAAGCCATGCTTTCGAAATAGTGAGCTTTCTAAGCCTGGCAGTCAGTGCCCTCAGCCAGTGAACCCCGATTCATTCTCCAACCTGCTCTTCTATAATCTCTTTGCTTACAATCTACTTGTTTATTCACAATCCCCTGAATCTCTTCTAGAGTTTACACTTCTAGTCGCATCATTTCCCTAAGCCTGAAATAGCCTCTTTCCCCATCTATTTAAATCTTATCTATCTTTAGGGCCCCATCCAATTAAACCGGAATTGCTCTGCGAAGCTATCCCTGACATCCCCAGCCCATAATTCTATTCCACATCTTGCAACTCCGCAGAGGAGCTTATTCTTTAATTTGGTGTGTACTGGTTGGTAGATTATTTGTTCCCTTTACCTGGTAGCATTATTTTCCTATTGAGATTGCAAGAGATGAGCATCTGTTAGACTATGGGATGGGAACTATTCAAGTTCCCATGAAATAGTTCCCTACGTAGGCATGATGGAGTGGTGAGGGGAAGTATCTTAATAAGTTGACATTGGAGTAGAGATCCTGGTGAAGAGACAGTGTCCTTCAGGATATACGATTGCAGAGAATTCCAGGGAGAGGGAAGAACGAGTGCAAGGAATCAAGGAAGAGAAAGGAGGCCAGTGTGGCTGCAGCAGTCTGAGCAAGAAGAGAGTGGTAAGAGACACAGTCAAAAGACTAGTGGAGGCAAGAAAATCCAAGCTCCCCAATACATGCACACAATGCCATAGGATGCACTGTAAAACAAAAGGAGCGATATTGTTATATAATTATTCATATGGAATAATCTTCATTTTTTTCTTTTTTTTGAGACAGAGTCTTGCCCTATTGCTGGGGTTAGAGTGCTGTGGCGTCAGCCTAGCTCACAGCAACCTCAAACTCTTGGGCTCAAGCAATCCTCCTGTCTCAGCCTCCCGAGTAGTTGGGACTACAGGCACAAGCCAGGATGCCCGGCTAATTTTTCTATTTTTAGTAGAGACAGGGTCTTACACTTGCTCAGGCTGATCTCAAACTCCTGAGCTCAAGCAATCTTCCTGTCTCGGCCTTCCAAGGAGCTGGGAATACAGGCATATGCCACCACGCCCAGCTAATTTTTTCTATTTGTAGTAGAGACAGGGTCTCGCTCTTGCTCAGGCTGGTCTTGAACTCCTGGCCTCAAGCGATCCTCCCACCTCGGCCTCTGTGAGCCACTGTGCTTGGCCTCCAAGTTATGTTGTTAAGTGAAAAAAGCAAGGTGGGCTGGGGAAAAAAGGCAAAAGAAAGAAGTAATATAACTTTTAGAGAGAGCCCTCTTTTTTTTTTTTTTTTGTTTTTGACACAGCTTAAGTCCTGTTGCCGGGGCTTAGAATGCCGTGGTGTCACGCTAGCTCTACAGCACCGTCCACTCCTGGGTCAAGCAATCCCTTGCGCTCAGCCCTCCCCGAGTAAGCTGGGACTACAAGCATGCGCCACCAATGCCTGGCTAAATGATTTCTCATACATATTTTAGTTGGCCAATTACTTTCTTTCCTATTTTTAGTAACCTCGGGGTACCCTTGCTCCCTTGCTCAGCCGCTGGTCTCAAACTCTCCCTGAGCTCAAACCATCCACCCGCTCTCGGCCTCCCAGAGTGCTAGGATTACAGGCATGGGATCCCACACGTTTGTGTTATTCTGATGTCCGCTCTAGCGAGCCCTCTACTTTAAATAAAAATTTTATTTCCTAGAATTTCTATATGTTTGTATATATTTTCAGGTTATGAGGCTCTTTCTATATTTCACTTGCTTGATTTCCTTTCGATACCTAACTCCCAGTTGTCTTTAATAGCTTTCTTGGTCCTTACATTGAATAAGATTCCACAGAGATATTGTGCCACATTTGTTATCCTAGATATGAAATCATCGATTTCTCTAAAGAGTCCTGCTGTATTTTAGTGTGAAATGGTAATTAGAGAACACAATTGGAATGCGAGGGTGTTTCTTGAGTAGATCATCTTTTCTAGGCCTTTTCAGTAGACAAAGCTAAAAAATATGCTTTTGGCTGGGAGTGGTAGCTCACGTCTGTTCCTGTCAATCCTATTACTGTTGGGAGGCCCAAGGCAGGAGGATCACTTGGAGCCAAGAATTCTCAAGACCAATCTAAGGCAAGAATGAGACCCTACTCTCACAAAAAAAAAAAAAAATAGATAAAATTTGCGTGCGGCCTGGTGGCATGCACCTGCTAGTTCCAGTACTGCAGGAGCTGAGAATGAGGATGCTTAAGCCGGGAAATGACGTTGTCAGTGATCTTACCCCGGGACCGCCACGGACACTCTATCCAGGGGACAGAGTGAGGATCCTATCTCAAAAAAAAAAAACAAAAAAACAAATTGCCTATTCCTCACTTTTGTTTTGGTGTTTGTCTCTTTTGAAAATAAAATGCTTTGTGGATTCACAGTAATATTTCCCATTCAAATTTAGAATAATGGAATTCTAACTTCCCAATTTCTAACTTTCTGACCTTATTTAACTTCCCCAAATTTATATTTGTATCTTTTCAACTGAAAATTTGCTATTCCTAATGGCATTAACATAATTATTATTTGTCTTATCCTAAAATATATGTAATAGTTTCAAAATAAAAATAATATCAATAATAATACAATTACTCTACTAAAAACAGTTAATATATTTACTTTTA